CAGAGCTCTTCTGCTTGCCTCGCTCACCAACTTCCAATGAAAGATATTACCTCACTCACCTTGTCCCTCTAATATCCTGGGATCATCACGGCCACATCAACAGTGCAGACAGTAAAATCATGCCAAGTAGTAATCAGTCAGGCTCTAAGTCACACTACTGCATCATCATCATGTTGGTCTGAGTGGCAGTCATTACATCTGTTTGTATGTTTCCTTGTATTGGCTTGACTAGTAAAAGTGATCATATTGTTAGCAAACAAACAAACAAACAAAATGCTGATTCATTCACTAGGAGTTGATCTATAAATGGTTTAACAGTCTTGTTGAGAAATATCAGCTGGAGGTTAAGAAAAGAGTGTAGGGAGAACAATCAAGCTATTGCTAAATGGAAGGATTCACCAAGCTTGACAGAACTGCCATTAATCCACTGGGTTATTAACACAGCACTAACTATAACTCTGCTACAGTTATGTCTCTGGTGACATTTCTGTATACTCCCTTAAATTCAGAGGGATACAGCTCAGAGAAAGACCGCCACTGTAGGCTGAAACATGCCATACAAAGAGCAAATCATACAAGGAGTTCTATTAGATGCAGCAGGCCTGAGCCTGCTGCATTTAGGCTGCAATTTTGTTAATTTCCTCCAGAGTGGTGACATCATCTGTACCCACACTGATATGGAGAGTGTGCAGGGAGAGCAACTGCTCCAATCTATGTATCAGACCTGAATGGGAGTAAAGATATTAGATTGTTGTTTCAGTATATCACAATTAAATAGTATTTTGGAGGGGAGAATTCAATTTTTCCTCCCCAATATGTATTAACACCTGCATGTTAGTATAACAAGTTCTGACACAAGTCTGTTCCATCAGAAAGTAATCTAGCTCATTACCCTCTTTTCTTGTTGGAGATCTTTCAGTGGGGTTGTGCTTACTCTGGTGAGACAAATCACTAAGCAACAAATAAGCCACTACAGCTGAATTGTGCATTACCTGTATTTTGAGGCAAGTGTATTGTAATGATGTTTTTATCTGCTTTTTCACTTGGAATTCCAAGTTTCCAGGGGTTCAGAGTCTGCCACCCTTTTTCAGTTAGGGTAGTAGCTTTACTCTGTGAATGGCCCCATTGGGACTGCTTGTAAAGTGCTCACTACTCAGTCTGAGCAAAGGTGGCAGAATCAGCCCCAAGTTGTTTTCACATAGAATTTTTATGACTTATCTGGGCTGAAATTTAGCATAAGAAATTTGGCTCAAGAAACAATAGTAAATAAAACAAAACATCCATTTGGGCTCATTATAAATTCTGCAATATGAGCCAAATCCTTTTTCCTTACTTACATGGGACCTAATCCAATACTTAGTGCTTCTTAAGATTTGGTCCATCTGATGTCACACTGACTTCAGCTGGGATATCTGTGTGAACAAGATGAGCAAACTTGCTGTCATAAATAAAGCTAACAGGATTTGGCCTTAAGAGGTTTGCTGTCTGATGTGGCAAATAAGTTATTTAGGCTATTATTTGTACCATATCAAGAACTCTTTTGAACCCGGATCTTACAAACACTTACATACATGCATAGCTTTACTCAGGGATGTTGTCTCATTGAAGTTTATGGGAAAATTCATGTGAGTAAAGTTATCAACGTGTTTAACCATTTACAAGATCAGGGCCATAATGAGTATCCATAAAGGCCATGAAAATACCACTGACAGTGACACAAAAATTCCTGAAATATCGCAATTGCCCAATAGACTAAAAAGGTTACAGTTATCAAGTAACCAAAGTTTCAAAAATTGCCCTCACTATGCATTTACATGATAAACAATATTGCCTTTGAAAAAGTTTCTATGTTCTGTTGGGTAAATAATCTGTGTTTTTAAAAAATAAAAATCCTAAATACATATATTCACAATAGTGTAACAATACATGTCTTTAAAATTCCCTAGACACATATTTACATGATACCCTATTATAGTAGGCTCTGTCAATATGATGGATTTTTAAAGTCCTTAAATATATATTTACATAATCCATTCTTTTAACAGTCCTGAAATACATATTTACACAATAGACTAATCTCTCTAAAAAGCAATTGCAATCCATTCTGTCTAATCTCACACAGTTCTGTGAGGGATTTGTCTCTTTAATTTTGTCTTTTTCAATACTATCATTTAATTTAACTCATGTGAGGAAAAAATAGGATAATCGGGGGCCTAATCCTGCTCTCACTGAAGCCTCTGACACAATTCCCTATTGACTGTAAGGGGTGCAAATTTGAGCCACAAAACTGTAACACAAAACATGAAAAACTGGTATTTAATTCTTAAATCTTTCTAGACAATGTAGATTATCCAGTGAATGATGCTACATACTTCTATACTTTGGAATACATAAGCACAAGAAAACAAACTAAGGGTAGAATTTCCATAGTCTAAGTAATAGATTTGTCAGATACACAGTCATGGCACAAGAAAATTAATGAGCACTCTCAGAATTTGCAGCCAGCTAATAGTTAATTGGTTTTAATTAGGGGGTCAGTCTCCTAATCTAGGGCCTAATCCTGTTCTGAGATTAAGCATTTCTCATACTTATAGCAGATAGGGATCTTACTCATGTTAATTTTAAGGATCAGCAAACCCACATCCGATATAATTTATGGCCTTGTGATTTTTTTCCCCAATGTGAGAGTTTATTTAATGCTTATGAAGCTGAAATGATAGTAACTTCCAGCTAGAGCCATGTATTGTGTGGGCAGGTGCTGTGTGAGGGTCCCCGCATAGCTCTGCCATATGCACCTTAATTATGACCTGCACTGCAACACCACCATAAATCCAGTCTAGAAACTCTCCTGAGCAGATATCACAACTTTGTTGTGGGTTTATTTCTTAAATAGGCAAAACTGCAATCGGAAATCAGAGTTTCATTTGTGACTGTCCAAAGTTTCATCACAGAGGTGAAAGTCTAGTACACTAATTCACGATACTGCCTAGGCATGTGTTAAACTGTTATTACTCCTTTCATGTATTCTCCCACTTTTCTATATTAATTTTGTAGCCATATTTCCTCCTATTGTGAGAACTTTCACTGTCTACAACTCTCTCATTTAGAGGCATGGATCAGGTTAATTGTTGAATTCACAGAGAGACATGGATAATGTATATAATAAAAAACACATGGTCAGCTAGGAACAGAACATTTTTTCTCCAAAAAATAACAGAACTTTGAGGTAAATTGTAATGCTTTTGAACAAGGTGGACATACAAATGTCAACATATACCTCCTTTCCCCTATCCTTCCCCCCTCCCCACTGAATTAAGATGAGTAAGCCCCTAGCCATTTATCAAAAGCATTACAGAGTAGCAGTAGCTGCTCAATAGTTGATGATACCATACTAGGAGTCCAATTTTCTATTCCCTCCCTGCAATTTCCCAAACATAACTATCTTCCTGAAGTGTCACGTGGCATGACTCATCCCAGGGTATCGACAGACTTGGTAAAATTCAGAAAAGTTTTAAAGTTATGGAATCTGAAAACGTTAACAAAATTGTCGCGAACTGAACTAAGATTGCACAGGACACAAACAAAAACAAAAAAGTATTTTCTCATTACTGTTGAAACCAACTCTATGGTGTTAAATCAAAAACTCACCAAAAATCCTTCTTTATGATCTTCCCTCCCAAAAAGAGAGAAATATGGATCTAATCTGGTCCCATTTTAATCAATGGGAGTTTTGTCATTGGCTTCAATGGGAGTAAGACCAGGTCCAACAGTAGCACAGTTCTGACTTTACCACCTGACTCTGCAACCAAAATGGCATTTCCTGGGCATTTCATAAACAATATTGGCTAATGAGAATTAGCAGGACTGTATAGAAAAGTTCCCCTGTTAAGAATTAGTGAGCAGTCTGTTTTAAATATTATGACAGGTTTCAGAGTAGCAGCCATGTTAGTCTGTATTCGCAAAAAGAAAAGGAGTACTTGTGGCACCTTAGAGACTAACAAATTTATTTGAGCATAAGCTTTCGTGAGCTACAGCTCACTTCATCGGATGCATTCAGTGGAAAATACAGTGGGGAGATTTATATACATAGAGAACATGAAACAATGGGTGTTACCATACATACTGTAACGAGAGTGATCACTTAAGGTGAGCTACTACCAGCAGGAGAGTGGGGCGGGGGAGAAGGGGAACCTTTTGCAGTGAATCAAGGTGGGCCAGTTCCAGCAGTTGACAAGAACATCTGAGGAACAGTACGGGGTAGAGGGGGGGAATAAACATGGGGAAATAGTTTTACTTTGTGTAATGACCCATCCACTCCCAGTCTCTATTCAAGCCTAAGTTAATTGTATCCAGTTTGCAAATTAATTCCAATTCAGCAGTCTCTCGTTGGAGTCTGTTTTCGAAGTTTTTTTGTTGAAGAATTGCAACTTTTAGGTCTGTAATCGAGTGACCAGAGAGATTGAAGTGTTCTCCAACTGGTTTTTGAATGTTATAATTCTTGACGTCTGATTTGTGTCCATTTATTCTTTTACGTAGAGACTGTCCAGTTTGACCAATGTACATGGCAGAGGGGCATTGCTGGCACATGATGGCATAGATCACATTGGTAGATGTGCAGGTGAACGAGCCTCTGATAGTGTGGCTGATGTGATTAGGCCCTATGATGGTGTCCCCTGAATAGATATGTGGACACAGTTGGCAACGGGCTTTGTTGCAAGGATAGGTTCCTGGGTTAGTGGTTCTGTTGTGTGGTTGCTGGTGAGTATTTGCTTCTCTGTGTATATAAATCTCCCCACTATATTTTCCACTGAATGCATTCGATGAAGTGAGCTGTAGCTCACAAAAGCTTATGCTCAAATAAATTTGATAATCTCTAAGGTGCCACAAGTACTCCTTTTTTAAATATTATGTTACAGTAATGCCATGTCTGCTAACGATGCAGCCTAGCGATAATTTTTCCTTGGATTGCTTTTTAATCTTTCTTTCGACGTTACTTCAAGTGCAGGAAAAGACAGACACATCGCTGGAGATTAGCTGCTCACAACATGTATGAAGACCTGGAGGCAAAACTTCAATGAAGCTACTCTGATTTACACCAGATGAGGATTTGGTTTCGGGAGTATTTCTCTGCCAAGAATCATCAAAATATTTCAGTCCACTAAATTTAACAGCATTTGCCATGTGGTTATTTCTCTCTTGAAAGATTCCAAGAGGAAGCAGCTATGTACAAATGTAAAGTTATCTTTCCTAATTTCTCTGAAACACAAGTTATAGCTGAAAATAAGGCACTTAAAGTCTGCAACTTATTTCCTCTTCTTTGAATGATTACTATAAATGTAAGTCTCACTAGATGGTACTCAGATCAGACATTTTAGTATTAAATGGATTTGCAAATATATGTGTGTATATAGCTTTAAATGGTTGCTTATAATTACCTCATACAATGAATAAAGTTTGTAACACATAAGCAAAGATACCAAATAATTATTTAATATGATTGTATTTATTACATAATGTTTTCATGTTCCTACCCAAAAATAATTATGCTAAAATAACATTTAAGCCACATCTACACTACCTGCCAGATCGGCGGGTAGTGATCGATCTATCGCATCTAGTGTAGATGCAATAAATCGATCCCCGCTCTGCTGTCGACTCCAGAATGCCACCAGGGTGAGAGGCAGAAGCGGAGTCGACGGGGGAGTGGCAGCCGTTGATCCCGCGCAGCGAGGACATGAAGTAAGTGATTCTAAGTCGATCTAAGATACATTGACTTCAGCTACGCTATTCTCATAGCTGAAGTTGCGTATCTTAGATCGATCTCCCCCCCCCCCCCCATGTAGACCAAGCCTTAGATTCTTCAACATAGAATTTCATAGTGGGGAAAAAACAATAAAAAGTTACATTAAGTCTTGGATCTAGTTACCTTTCATGTGTTTTTTTCATAATTTTCCTTGCTACTGTTATTAATGATAAAATAAATGACAGTTTGAACAAATGTTTGTGTCCTCAAAAGCCATATGCTCCCCCTGTTTGATCCTACAGTGAAGTTTAAATGCCTAAATTCATTTCGATAGTAAGAGAAAGAAATGTTAACACATGCAGGATCAAGACTTCACCAAAGCATCAAACAGAATATGAAGTGAGGTACTAAGGGAGAAAGTTCTTATTCAAAAAGAAATATCTGCAATAAAAAACTAATTAAACAACAGTGCACAAAGTAAGTTGCTACCTTTTGAATTCTCTTCTCCCACCTCCCAAGTTTATTCCACGGTGAATAACCTCTATTAAGTCAATACAAATCAGAAAAATTCAGTCATACCTGAACTCTTTGTACTTATGTACTGCAGTGGTGTCCAAAGAGTTATTGATTTATCTGACATACCATACACAGTGGAAGCCCTAGATAAAATGGACCAAATTTAGATAATTTATAAGGTTCAAATCCATTGAAATTAGTGGAATTGTGCTCACTTATATCATATCTGAATTTGGCCAATGAATTAAGAGATGATGGGAGATTCAGCCCTGAAGTGCCTGCCACCTGCCTGTTGAAGTGTAAATACCACAAAGGGAGAAGAATTGTTTTAGTACATAGGTATTACTAGTAATGGGATGAAATTTAAGAGAATATGTAGTCTGACTCTCAAGAAAAAGTAACGATAGTGATGTCTATTAGTCTTTGGAACTCTAAAACCAGGGGAAAGATTAGTAAATGTACAATAGGATCACTTTAACATTGGCAGGGAAATGGACTAGATGATCTAAGACAGAGGTGGGCACATTACGGCCCACGGGCCACATCCGGCCCGCGGGACCATCCTGCCCGGCCCCTGAGCTCCCGGCCAGGGAGGCTAGCCCCCAGCCCCCCCCCCCATCCCCTGCAGCCTCAGCGCGCCACGCTGCCAGCGCTCTGGGCTGCTGCTCTTGCCGGGCAGCGCAGCAGCGTGGCTGGCTCCGGCATGGTAAAAGTGGGCGGGGAGCAAGGGGTCCTGGGGGGGCCGTCAGGGGACAGGGAGCAGGGGGCAGTTGGATGGGGTGGAGGTTTTGGGGGGTGGTGGTCAAGGAACAGGGGGTGGTTGGATAGGCGTGGGAGTCCCAAGGGGCCTGTGAGGGGTTGGGGGTGTGGATAGGGGTAGGGGCAGTCAGGGTACAGGGAGAAGGAGAGGTTGGATGGGGGTGGGGTCCTGGGGGGCAGTTAGGGGTGGGGGTCCCAGGAGGGAGGTCAGGGCACAAGGAGTGGGGGGGGGTTGGATGGGTCAGGGATTCTGAGGGGGGCAGTCAGGGGGCGGGAAGTGGGAGGGGACAGATGGGGGCGGGGGCCAGGCTGTTTGGGGAGGCACAGCCTTCCCTACCCAGCCCTCCATATAGTTTTGCAACTCCGATGTGGCCCTCGGGCCAAAAAGTTTGCCCACCCCTGATCTAAGAGGTAAGATTCTACAGGGTGATGTTTATTGAACCGTAATTTTGATGCATATTTTTAAATAGTGGTGTCTCGTTTTGCACCTGCAGTTTCTGAGACACAACTGCACAGGCACTTTGAAAGTGCAATTTAGGTGACTGATTTAGAGAAACAAGCAGATTTTACATATCTAACCAATCTAAATTATTATTAATATTTATTTGCATTATGATTGTACCTAAGAACCTCAATCAAGGACACGTTGAGCTAGGCTACAAACAAATAACAAAGACAACAGTCACTGCCTCAGAGGACTTGCTCCCTGCCATTTGCAGATGTAAAAAAAAAAAAAGGGGGGAGTACTAACTCAAGGTGAATTAAAAATAATAAAGATTGGCCCTTATATGTATGTATGTATGTATGTATGTATCTCCTCTCATCAATGCTACTTACGAAAATATTGTCTGAAACAAGATTTTTTAAATTCTGTATCCTCCTCCCCCAGACCATTTCTTCAGTGATGTTACAATCTAAGGTTTATTTCACTATTAGTTACTATGGAAATAACTGTGACGGCACAAACACATAATTTTGGCATTGCTAATGGCCTAATCCTGCACCACTGAGGTCAATGGGAGTTCTGCCATTGGTTTCAATAAGAACAAGAATTATTCAAGTGACAGATGTGAGTGATTTATTATAAAAATAAAAGCTCTCTCATTGTTTTGTTTTTTAAAAACTCAGTATTAAGCTATGATGGGAAAGCAAGTGTTCAGGAATTTCTTTGTTTTCCACTTTCAGTGGCAATCTTCTCTATGAGATGATCCAACACCAGACCAAAGTATGGGGGGAAGGGGCCCCGCAGGCAGGTAATTGCTGTTTTACACAAGGAAAAATTGTATTCCATTTCATCTTGATATCTTTCCACTGGAAGATAGCAACTGAAAGATTTTTATTTTTTTTCCTGAGGGAACAGGTATTTCCCTTTCACACTGAAAAAAATCTCTGCTGGAGAGAGAGCCTTGATAAAGTCAGCATCACTGTTCTTGATAAACCATTCCTATTTTCTCCATTCTGGGGGCAAGAAACCACATTTCTCTGTCGCAAGCTTACAGCTCTTCTAGGGAAGAATGAATCCTATTACCTGGATTTAGAAAGCTAATAAGCAGCTTGCTTCCAAGGATGATCTTATAGTCCCTTCATGTGCATGTAGAGAAACAATATGGCTAAAAAGATGTACTGTATTTTTTAGAAGAGGATGACCCCAATCCCACCCAAAAAAAAGTCTGCATGTTTACTAAAGCCTTTTATCAAGCTATGTTCACTCCAATAGCCATCCAGACACTGTCCAGTATCTTGGCTTTCCATCAGCCATTCCAAATCTAGTAACCCATCATCAGTTAGAGAACGTGTTAGCTCAGAGGGAGAAGGAGACAGCTAATAAGCTGTCCAGGGAGCCTGCAGTCTGCTGTCAGCCAGGAATCTGACTTAAGATATCTCTTTTAAGGCATTCAATTGATGCCAGAAGTCAATGGATTTAAGCTTTTGAGAAAGGTTTGCCTCTGTCATTTATAAAATAATAAAACCAACAGTGGTCTGGTGAAGTAGGGTTCCAAGAAGAGAGGCTAAGGGCACCTAATCCTTCAAAAAAAATATTAATGGGCAGGTAAATAGCCAACTATTAGCAGAGTCAGAAAAAACAATTGAGATGGTGAGTGACTATTATAGCAATTTCATGTAGAAGAATACAGTGTTGCAGATCCTGAATTTAGAAGGTTTTGCACTATTTCATAGTATAAGGCCAGTAAGGTAGAAAGATTAATTCAAACTTGCTTTGCTTCACTATGCCCTGGTCTACACTAGGACTTTAGGTCAAATTTAGCAGCATTAAATCGATGTAAACCTGCACCCGTCCACACGATGAAGCCCTTTATTTCGACTTAAAGGGCTCTTAAAATCGATTTCCTTACTCCAGCCCTGACAAGTGGATTAGCGCTTAAATCGGCTTTGCTGGCTCGAATTTGGGGTACTGTGGACACAATTCGACGGTATTGGCTTCCGGGAGCTATCCCAGAGTGCTCCATTGTGACCGCTCTGGACAGCACTCTCAACTCAGATGCACTCTCAACTCAGATGGCCAGGTAGACAGGAAAAGAACCGCGAACTTGTGAATCTCATTTCCTGTTTGGCCAGCGTGGCAAGCTGCAGGTGACCATGCAGAGCTCATCAGCAGAGGTGACCATGATGGAGTCCCAGAATCGCAAAAGAGCTCCAGCATGGACTGAACGGGAGGTACGGGATCTGATCGCTGTATGGGGAAAGGAATCCGTGCTATCAGAACTCCGTTCCAGTTTTCGAAATGCCAAAACCTTTCTGAAAATCTCCCAGGGCATGAAGGACAGAGGCCATAACAGGGACCCGAAGCAGTGCCGCGTGAAACTGAAGGAGCTGAGGCAAGCCTACCAGAAAATTAGAGAGGCGAACGGCCGCTCCGGGTCAGAGCCCCAAACATGCTGCTTCTATGATGAGCTGCATGCCATTTTAGGGGGTTCAGCCACCACTACCCCAGCCGTGTTGTTTGACTCCTTCAACGGAGATGGACGCGATACGGAAGCAGGTTTTGGGGACGAAGAAGATGATGATGATGATGAGGTTGTAGACAGCTCACAGCAAGCAAGCGGAGAAACCGGTTTTCCCGACAGCCAGGAACTGTTTCTCACTCTGGACCTGGAGCCAGTACCCCCCCGAAACCACCCAAGGCTGCCTCCTGGACCCAGCAGGCGGAGAAGGGACCTCCGGTGAGTGTACCTTTTAAAATACTATACATGGTTTAAAAGCAAGCATGTGAAAGGATTACTTTGCCCTGGCATTTGCGGCTCTCCTGGATGTACTCCCAAAGCCTTTGCAAAAGGTTTCTGGGGAGGGCAGCCTTATTGCGTCCTTCATGGTAGGACACTTTACCACTCCAGGCCAGTAACACGTACTCGGGAATCATTGTACAACAAAGCATAGCAGTGTATGTTTGCTGGCTTTCAAACAACATCCGTTCTTTATCTCTCTGTGTTATCCTCAGGAGAGTGAGATATCATTCATGGTCACCTGATTGAAATAGAGTGCTTTTCTTCAGGGGACACTCAGAGGAGCCCATTCCTGCTGGGCTGTTTGCCTGTGGCTAAACAGAAATGTTCCCTGCTGTTAGCCACAGGGAGGGGGGACGGTTGAGGGGGTAGCCACGCGGTGGGGGGAGGCAAAATGCAACCTTGTAACGAAAGCACATGTGCTATGTATGTAATGTTAACAGCACAGTTTACCCTGAAAGAGTGTAGCCACTGTTTTATAAAATGTGTCTTTTTAAATATCGCTGTCCCTTTTTTTTTCTCCACCAGCTGCATGTGTTTCAATGATCACAGGATCTTCTCCTTCCCCGAGGCTAGTGAAGCTTAGAAAGAAAAAAAAACGCACTCGAGATGAAATGTTCTCCGAGCTCATGCTGTCCTCCCACACTGACAGAGCACAGATGAATGCATAGAGGCAAATAATGTCAGAGTGCAGGAAAGCACAAAATGACCGGGAGGAGAGGTGGCGGGCTGAAGACAGGGCTGAAGCTCAAATGTGGTGGCAGCGTGATGAGAGGAGGCAGGATTCAATGCTGAGGCTGCTGGAGGACCAAACCAGTATGCTCCAGTGTATGGTTGAGCTGCAGCAAAGGCAGCTGCAGCACAGACTGCCACTACAGCCCCTGTGTAACCAATCGCCCTCCTACCCAAGTTCCATAGCCTCCACACCCAGACGCCCAAGAACGCGGTGGGGGGGCCACCGGCCAACCAGCCACTCCGCCACAGAGGATTGCCCCAAAAAAAGAAGGCTGGCATTCAATAAATTTTAAAGTTGTAAACTTTTAAAGTGCTGTATGGCATTTTCCTTCCCTCCTCCACCACCCCTCCTGGGCTACCTTGGTAGTCATCTCCCTATTTGTGTGATGAATGAATAAAGAATGCATGAATGTGAAGCAACAATGACTTTATTGCCTCTGCAAGCGGTGATCGAAGGGAGGAGGGGCGGGTGGTTAGCTTACAGGGAAGTAGAGTGAACCAAGGGGCGGGGGGTTTCATCAAGGAGAAACAAACAGAACTTTCACACAGTAGCCTGGCCAGTCATGAAACTGGTTTTCAAAGCTTCTCTGATGCGTACCGCGCCCTCCTGTGCTCTTCTAACAGCTCTGGTGTCTGGCTGCGCGTAACCAGCAGCCAGGCGACTTGCCTCAACCTCCCACCCCGCCATAAACGTCTCCCCCTTACTCTCACAGATATTGTGGAGCACACAGCAAGCAGTAATAACAGTGGGAATACTGGTTTCGCTGAGGTCTAAGCGAGTCAGTAAACTGCGCCAGCGCGCCTTTAAACGTCCAAATGCACATTCTACCACCATTCTGCACTTGCTCAGCCTGTAGTTGAACAGCTCCTGACTACTGTCCAGGCTGCCTGTGTACGGCTTCATGAGCCATGGCATTAAGGGGTAGGCTGGGTCCCCAAGGATACATATAGGCATTTCAACATCCCCAACAGTTATTTTCTGGTCTGGGAATAAAGTCCCTTCCTGCAGCTTTTGAAACAGACCAGAGTTCCTGAAGATGCGAGCGTCATGTACCTTTCCCGGCCATCCCACGTTGATGTTGGTGAAACGTCCCTTGTGATCCACCAGAGCTTGCAGCACTACTGAAAAGTACCCCTTGCGGTTTATGTACTTGGCAGCTTGGTGCTCCGGTGCCAAGATAGGGATATGGGTTCCGTCTATGGCCCCACCACAGTTAGGGAATCCCATTGCAGCAAAGCCATCCACTATGACCTGCACATTTCCCAGGGTCACTACCCTTGATATCAGCAGATCTTTGATTGCGTGGGCTACTTGCATCACAGCAGCCCCCACAGTAGATTTGCTCACTCCAAATTGATTCCCAACTGACCGGTAGCTGTCTGGCGTTGCAAGCTTCCACAGGGCTATCACCACTCGCTTCTCAACTGTGAGGGCTGCTCTCATCTTGGTATTCATGCGCCTCAGGGCAGGGGAAAGCAAGTCACAAAGTTCCATGAAAGTGCCCTTACGCATGCGAAAGTTTCGCAGCCACTGGGAATTGTCCCAGACCTGCAACACTATGCGGTCCCACCAGTCTGTGCTTGTTTCCCGAGCCCAGAATTGGCGTTCCACAGCATGAACCTGCCCCATTAGCACCATGATACATGCATTGGCAGGACCCATGCTTTCAGAGAAATCTGTGTCCATGTCCTGATCACTCACGTGACCGCGCTGACATCGCCTCCTCGCCCGGTATCGCTTTGTCAGGTTCTGGTGCTGCATATACTGCTGGATAATGCGTGTGGTGTTTAACGTGCTCCTAATTGCCAAAGTGAGCTGAGCAGCCTCCATGCTTGCCTTGGTATGGCGTCCGCACAGAAAAAAGGCGCGGAACAATTATCTGCCATTGCTCTGACGGAGGGAGGGGCGACTGACGACACGGCTTACAGGGTTGGCTTCAGGGAGCTAAAATCAACAAAGGGGGTGGCTTTACATCAAGGCGGCCTGGTGTACATCAAGGAGTATTTCAGGCAGGACTTCACGGAGGGTTCCAATAAGAAATGGTGCACCTAAGTTATTGTTCTTATTGGAACAAGGAGGTTAGCCTGGCCTCTGATTGATACATGGCTAGATTTACTTCGCTGCACCTTCTCTGTGAGTGACTGCAGTGTGACCTAGAAGAATGAGTCCCCTAGACGGGGGAGGAGGCAAATGAGTACAAAACAAAACTGGTCTATTTCTTGTTTTGATCCACTCCATCTATCTTTTACATCTTTGGCTGGCAGCAGACGGTGCAGAAGGACTGCATGCCATCCACATCTCATGACTGCTCAGCAGAAGATGGTGCAGTAGGACTGCTAGCCATCCTCATCTCTTGCGTGCCCAGCAGAAGATGGTACAATACGACTGCTAGCCATCCTCATCTCTTGCCTGCCCGGCAGAAGATGGTACAGTACGACTGCTAGCAATCCGTATTGCCTGCCTGCTCACCATAAGACGGTTCAATAAGACTGACTGCAGGACTAAAGAGAATGACCTGGTCAAGTCACTCCAAATTTAGTCCCTGCACCCATGTCTGCCCAGGCGCTCCCAGCCGACATGGCCAGGAGCACCTCGGACAAGACGAGGACGGCTACCAGTCGTATTGCACCATCAGCTGCCACAAGGCAATGGGTTGCTGCTACTGTGTAGCAATGCCGTACCGCTTCTGCCAGCACCCAGGAGACATACGGTGACGGTTACCTAAGCGGGCTCCATGCTTGCCGTGGTATGGCGTCTGCACAGGTAACTCAGGAAAAAAGGCGCGAAACGATTGTCTGCCCTTGCTTTCACGGAGGGAGGGAGGGAGGGAAGGGGGGCCTGACGATATGTACCCAGAACCACCCGCGACAATGTTTTAGCCCCATCAGGCATTGGGATCTCAACCCAGAATTCCAATGGGCAGCGGAGACTGCGGGAACTGTGGGATAGCTATCCATAGTGCAATGCTCCGGAAGTCGACTCTAGCCTCGGTACTGTGGAAGCACTTCGCCGAGTCAATGCACTTAATGCACTTAGAGCATTTTCTGTGGGGGGACACACACTCGAATATATAAAACCAATTTCTAAAAAAACGACTTCTATAAATTCGACCTTATTCCGTAATGTAGACATACCCTATAAGTTTAAAGTAATTATTTCTGATGACTCCTTAGGAGGCACATGCTTCATAGTACCTCTAAGAAAATAAGCACATGCAAACAGAGAGATAAAAAAAGAAAAAATGATGATGAATGTGAAATTGCTAAAACAACAAATATTCTCGTTATTATATTTCAATTTGTAGTTCTGAAAAATTACAAGTTGAAATACAAGACATTTTTCCAAATGCATTTTTCCATATAAATACAGGTAGTAGTATCATGCTAAAGGACTGCAGATGTTCCAAAGTAACATGTTTTTAAAATGAAGCTAAAACAATGTTGTGTGATAACACAATACAGTTTCCAAGTCTTCTTTCCATTTATTTTCAAAGCAGAGCTTTCCTGATTACAAGCAAGGGAATTATATGCTGCACTTACAGGAGTATGAATTCTATCTACCAGCTGTTTTCCCACATCTAAATACTCTGTTTCTGTGATCCTTCAGATGAGTGTTCTATCTGCTTTTCTATGCATTGGAGACTATTACCACTGAAGTTAACTGCAAAACTATTGACTTCTCTGGATCAGGCTCTATGGGGAGTTAAATAACTTCAGCGGCATTAGTCAATATTTTGGAAACATAAATTTCTTCCCTGACGTTCTATGATTTCTGGTGACGGTTTTCCCCCTGAGAGGTTTGTTTATATCACCCTTTCTGCAAAGAATTCCTTGGTTTGCTTAGACTCATCCTGCAAACCTTTCTCAGGCAAAACACCCACTACTGGGGAAGCACTAATGGATCAGGTGCTTGTTCAGGCTACCATTCACTTCCCTGAAGGAAAAATAACCAGCTGTGGTCCTTCAGGGCCTCAGTGTAAATAACTCAAACTGTCAATTTTTGATTAAACAGATATAGTTATAAAGTTTTAGTCCACAAAGGTAAATCATAAAATTGGGTTTTCTGAGTTATAGCCATGTCACACAATATGCATGTTACACCAAAGCAAGAGTTTTATTTTCCATGTATGTCCCTTCGTGTAAATGATCTCTGAGTATGACCAGCCTGCTGGGATGCAGAGAAAAGGAGGCTTGTTTCTAAGAGGCTTCTGCTCATTCTGCAGATTAAAGAGGGAAATATTTTGCCATGGAAATCTCATGCATAATTGGAACAGGAAAACTGCACTTGGTTTTATGGAGACGCCTTTAAAGAGATTAAGGAGCCTGCTAAACCTTCTCTTCTGCCGCAAATGAATTAGCTACTCAGGAGCAATTAAAGCAGCGCTCAAGCACGGAGATAAAGTTGTGCCCCCCGGTGACCTTCTGCTGGAGGAAGCGACGTTTCGGCTGGCAGGACTCGGGCAAGGAGACAAGCGGCTCGCTGAGTCCCAGTACACCGGCTCCAGGCTCTGCACCCCCAACCACAGCATCCTCCTGTCCAGAACTCCCCTATGCCCCAAATCAGACCACTGCGAAGCCGCCCAGTGCCAGCGCCCTGTATCCGCACCCCCGGAATCCTCCTACCTCTGCACCCCGAATCGCACCCCCCTCACCCCTACCCTGTGTGCACAACCCCGCACCCCCAGCTCCAAAATATTGTCCACACGCGCCCACCACTCCAACCCGAATCCAATGCTCCAGCCCCGTGCTCCCCTCCCCAGCACACCACCTGCCCCAAAGCCAACCCCCTCCCCCGCCGCCCAATCCCGGGCTCTGGATCCCCCCTAAACTGAGCACCCTGCACCGCCGCCCGAGGGCATCTGCCCCTGCCCCAGGCCACCTGCCCCTGCCCAGCTCCCTGCAGCAGACGCTCGGACCGCTGCGCCCCAGACAAACCCCCCAGAGCCGGCGATGCACCTGCTCCGGCCCCGGGGAGCAGAGGCGGCTTTCCGAAGAGTTCTGGCCCCCGCTCGCCCGCAGCCCTGCGCCCACCGAGCCCCAACTTTCCCACCTCCCCGAGGAGGCTGCAACAACCCCCCCCTCCCAGCCGCGGGGAGGGAGCTGCTCCCAAGCCCCTTGCCCCCCCGCGCCAGGGGCAGGCAGGAGAGCCCCAGCCCCTTCGCTGCGGGCGGGGGGCACCGAGGGGGCCCAGCCCCCGGGAGCTGCCGAGGGAAACAAACTCTTGCGGCGTCGGCGGCGGCGGCTGTTCACTTGCTGGAGCCGCGATGTAACCAGGCCAGACGGAGGCTCCGGCTCGCCCCATCCCCATGCTCCGAGCGCCCGCTCAGCCCGGCGCCCCTTTCCCGGCGGGGGAGCGGGGGGTTGCTTACCATAGGGAGAGGCGGAGGCTCCCCCCTTCCTGGCCATCTTCGCCCGCTGCCCTCCGCGCCTCTTCCCGGCTCCTCAGCG